CCCCCCCCCCCCCCGGCTTTACCAGAATCGCAAACAAAACCCTGCTCGCCACCCCCCCCTCGGCTGCGTTGCCGTTGCGATAGGGATGGGTACGACATGGACGGAAGCCGGCTGCGCGTGGAGATCTCCCGCGGGCGACGCGATCCCTTCGGTATGGGTGGAGGGGGATACGGAGGCCGGATGGGCATGCCAATGGGAGGGGGAAGAGGTGGATTCGGCGGCCGCGGAGGCGGTAAGTACATTGCAAGCTGGGAGGTTCCATCCTTGCCCTTGATTCGTTCGAGCGGCAATCATCGCGCAACGTATCCGCCCCAGAACTCGTCGTGCAAAATCGGCGGGAGTTGCACCGACTTCGTGCGTCATTCAATGTACTCGTTCTCTATTCCTGACCGGAGCAAACACGCTTGCTCATTTTTGATCGATGTGTGCGACCACTTACCTTTCGCCCTGTATATCCCGAACCTTGTGTGTGTATTTGCGCAGCTGGCTTTCAGCAGACGGAATACCGTGTCATCGTGACCGGGCTTCCGCCCAGCGCCAGCTGGCAGGACCTGAAGGACCACATGCGGAAGGCGGGCGAGCCGACCTACACCGATGTTGTGAGTGAAAGCTTCCTCCCTGCGGCGTTCGTTGAGGAGTTGATGTTTCCAGGGGGAACAAGAGGCGACTGAAGGCTTGTTTAGTAGACCAATCATCACCTACCGAACCCGGACAGAGTGAAAACGGAGGCAAGCAAGACGGTTTCCGTGGGAACCGCTACTCACTCAATTGCCGGGAAGCACACCACTATGATAGGTGTAAACCCTCGCGCGCTGCAGCGTCAGTGTTGCACGGCAGGGCATACACGCACAATACGCGCACGGCTCCGTGCAAGAACTTGCAGTGCTCGCCTTCATGTGTTCTGATTTGCTGCCCCCTCCCCACACCCTTTCTCTTCCCTCAGTTGCCTTTATTTATTACTCTTGTCTCCTCCCTCGTCGCCTCTACTTGTTACCCTTGCCGTGGCGGTATCAGGACCACAAGGGTGGTGGGATCGTCCACTTCAGGACCAGAGACGACATGGACTACGCCTTGCGGAAGCTAGACGGGTCGGACTTCCGGAACCCTTTCGAGAAGAGCCGCATCAGCGTAAGTTGGTGCCACTACTGGTATCAGCCGTTATTTCTCGATGATTCATGAAGCTCGAAGTTTCTTCGCATACAGGTGCCTGCTTTTTCGTGGTTGCCTCAAATGATAAACGAGGACCAAAGGAGGCGAGAGTCGTTTATTTTGATGTGTTTTATGATAAGGGCTGCAAGGTTTACAGTTTACCTTCATGTGAACAAGGAAAGCTGTTGCAGAAGTTTCATCTTTTGACACACGAGCAACAACTTCTCTGTGCTATCCGTGCCCCCACGCCTCGCCCAAGAACCTGCACTCCTTCTGCATCTTCTTCCCCGTTTTTTTTTATGATCTCTCGTGGAGGTGGTCAGCACGGACAGAAAGATAACTTGTGTTGGGGGCTTCACCGCTGATCTTTCGCCTCTATGGCCACCACGGCTTGTCGATACCTCTGTTCCAAAAACAAAAATAATGCCTCACAAAATAGTGTCTCCTCGTTTGATCCTCTTTCTGTCACGCCCAATACCCGTTTAATCGGTGCTACTGCTGTACCCAGGTCCTTCCCCACAGGGGCGTCGGCGGGGGCCGCGACTCGCGCAGCCGGTCGCGCTCTCCCAAGCGAAGCAGAAGGGCGCGCACGCCCTCGAGCTCGCGGTCGAGGTCCAGGAGCGTGCGCCGCGGCCGCCGCGGCCGCTCTGCCTCGAGGTAAGAAGGGGCTGAACTGAAGCGGTTGTGCGCGAACAGAAGAGAAATGGGAGATATGGTGGGTACTTCTGTAGGGCCAGACGAATTCGTGCTTACGCTTTTTTTTTCTTCCTATTTTCCGTGTTTTTGCCTGCGCTGTTCACTCGTTCTGCCGCGTCGCTTGTTCCCTCTTTTCTTCTGTGCGGAAAGCTTTTTCCGCACGCAACTACACCGCGAGACCTGTTTTTTTTTTGCTCTCATGTCGCGCACCACACGCTGGCACCTTGATGCTGCCTGCGCGTTTTGGACGCGCCCTTTTCATTCCCTACAGGAGCAAGAGCCGAAGCCCAAGCAGGTCGCCCAGCCGCAACAGGAGGAGGTCTTCGAGGTCCCCTTCCCGCTCCCGCTCTCGCTCCCGCTCTCGCTCTCGCTCTCGCTCCCGCTCCCGCTCCCGCTCCCTCTCGAGGAACTCCGACAGGGGGAAGTCCTCCCGCAAGGACGACGACGACGACGACGACCAGCCCAAGGTGAATTTTCGAGACCTCCCCGCTCATAATACAAGGAGAGGGAAGTGTACGTGACTGAGCTGGGAAAAATAGATGGGACGTACAGGGAGATGTTTGAGGCATGGAATAGAGAGGAAAGGACGGTAGCTGTATTGGGGCATAGGATGTGGGTTGAAAAGGCGGAAGGGATATCGTTAGGATAGACAGACTAGGGAAGACATTTTTGAGCCACCTTTGGCAAAGTAGAACGAAACGATTGGCCATCGGTGATCGGTCCTGTGGGAACAATGCTCCGTCCTATCGAGGACGCGTGGTCAATGGTCAAACCGCTAAGGCATGCAAAACATAAGAGTACGCCCCGCTCACAATACAGCATTTCTTGAGTTTTTATTATTGTGAGCCCTTTTCTGCCATGTTCTGTTAGCCCCGCCGTCACCCGTTTAATTCTCCTCTTGTCAATAAACGGGCTTGTGTTGAGTGCGAGCGGGTTGCATGAGACTATCCAACCGCGGTGTGCTTCGCCAGAGAGCGACTGCACTTTCCTGCATCAGTTTCGTGGACCACAAACGACGGCCCTTGGTACATGTGGTCGATGCCCCGAATGATGTTGTGTCGAGAAGCCGATTCACCTCAAGAATTACGCGTCCCGTCCTGTCTCTCCTCTGTTTCTTCGCGTCGATGGCAGCAGGACCGGAGCCGCGACAGCCCTCGCCGCGGCGAGTCCGCCGAGCCTAACGGGACCGCCAACGGTAAGGACAGCAACGGCGACGCCGACCACAAGGGAGACAATGACGCCGCCGGCAGCGAGGGCGATGGGGAAAGAGGAGAGGGCGGCAACGATAAGGACGCGGCCATGTCCGAGGCGGTCGGAGAGGACCCTCAGGCCGTTTCCGCCGAGGCATGATGGACCAGGACTCATCGGGATGATGGCCGTTTCGGGGTAATGGCCTCTCTGCTGTAGGACACGCTGATTGTTGGGGTGTGGGCGGATGAAGCCAACTCTGTGTATGTCATCTAGTTTTGCTCGTTTGTTTCGCATTTCTGCTGTTTTTGTTTGGTTGCACCTATTGATGTGGCGCATTTTTAAAAGTGTGAGGCAGTTGGCGTTTCGCGAATCCGCGGAGGCTGTCTGGATTGTCGGATATTCGCGGTGCACGCGTTACTGGTTCACGGAACGCATGGATCTGTATGTGCAAACCCGTACGTGCTCGATGGGAGATAGATGGGCTGTGTGACGGCTCGGCATGTTACCGAGGTCGACGACACGGTGGCTATTTCTTCGACCAAGCGTTTGGGCAGGCCTGGTTGCGCTGGCGGTAGCAGGCACGCCTCAGAGACGTTCGTGCTGTACTTTAGGTGGATCTGTCGGTGGAATTGTTGTTGTTGTTGTTAAGATTTGGTACGCAAGGTTTTTTTCCGCCGAGAAAACGGTTGCGGAGAAATTATGGGATAAAGTTTGTAGGCTACGGCGAGAGAAGGGCGGGCGCTAGAGATTATACAGTAGTGGGCGTGCGGTCGGCGGCGCGTTTTTTTTTTCTCTCTCCGTTATTCTCGCTGTTTTCGCTTCCAGGCGCCGTTGCGAGCTCTCAGTCAAGGACCGTCCCGTTTATCTCCTGGAGACGTCGAGAAAGGTGGAGGCGGCAGCGAGCAACACGAGAAGCGATTGTTCGCATGGAGGCAGAGAGGATCCAAGTGCGACCGGCAAATTTTTGCATGGAGGCAGAGAGGATCCAAGCGCGACCAGCAAAGTTTGGATAGAGGCAGAGAGGATCCACGCGCGACGGACGTTTTTGCGGCCCAAGAACTGCGCCCGCTCGATAGGGCGGCGTCGGAGGTCTTCCCCGCTCGCTGCTTCTGTTGACACCTGTGGCACCACCGCCACCGCGCTATCGTTGCCGTCTTGTGCGACACACTTTGACGTGGTGATGTATAAACTGCTGCTGCGGTTTGATAGCATTCGGGGGAAACGCAATCAATCCCGTGTGCTTTTTAGCAAGCCATGCACGCGCACGAGCGAACGGGCGCGTTTCCTGAATCGAAATTTGGCGATGCAGCGGAGGGTAAGCGTAGTCGGAGGTGAAGGAGGAGTACGGGGGGGGGGCGGGGAGTTACAGGGAATGGGGGATCGGGATTCTCTCCAGCACGGGCGGTTGAGCGAGGCCGGTCGGACATCGATGAGCAGGATGAAATGTCGAATTGTTGGCCCATTCTAACGTCCAACAGGTCTTGACGCCAAATCGCCGGAGTGCGCGGGTGAGGGAGAGAGAGGGAGGGAGAAAGGGAGGAGCGGCGATGAAATGCCACGGGATGCAGATATGCGCTTTGGAGTTCTAGCTGAGCGCACAACGGGATGCCAAGCTTTTGCGTAGAGGGATGGATGCTCATCAATGTGGAGGGAGGGAGGGAGAAAACGGGCATACCGTGCGAGATTTGGACGATTGGACGGGAAGGGCGCACGGCAAGAAGCGCTCTCTCAAAATCACGGCAAGCCACGTTTTGTTTTTTGCTTGATGATGGTCAGAATGATTGGAAGCGTGTCGAACAAATTTGAAATTCACGCCTAGGAACGAGCCTGTTTTTTCTTCGACGAAGCTTTGTTCATTGTGACACTAATATTCATGCGCTTACACTTTTTGGCTTTGTTTTGATGTCGGGGCAATTCTTGGACTAACCGGTCGTTGTTCGCCCCTCTTGTCGGCTTGGCCGAGGAAGACCCCCAAAGCTCTTTGGCATTTTTTTGCTGGAGATGTTTTCAGTCAGCGCCAGCAGAGAAATGAGGTTCCTTGTCGAAGTCACCCTACTTGTTTGTGCGCGCTACTTTCGTACTCCCCCGACTCCATCGCGAAGCATTGCCGCACAATTTTACCTTCCCGGTACACGTGCACATTGTGTGCCCTTGAGTGCCCTGTGGACCTTTTCGTGCCCTTGCTGTGTTGTATTTGAAGCTGACGCGCTACGCCAGGCCTGCTTGCTTTCGAGCCATGTGTCTGGCGCGAGCGTATTTGCGGGCAACGAAAGCGGCTGGTCAGAGGAAGAGGCCGCCGTAAAAGGGGCTTTGGAACCAGCCCAAGCTTGGCGTTGGCTTTGGCACGCGCGTGGGCTTGGCGGCGACAGCGGCGCGGACGTCGCCTGCCCCTTTCGCTTATTTCGCTTCCTCTCCGTTATTTTTCAGCTGCGGACGATGAGGTAGTAGAGTAGTGGACCAAGGGCGCGCCACCGAGCCGCTTTAGCGAGTTCTGAGGAGCAGCCTTACATGGCCACGTCTCCAACTTGCGTTCTGGCGATCTGTCCCCGGCTTTCGGCATCGCAGCCTTCCTTGTGCGATGTTGGCGATCAAGGCGAGAAGAGAAGGTGGACGCCGGGCTGTTTCGTTGTGTCCATCTCGGAGCCGGCATATTTCTATCCTCACCCGGACCTACGTACCTGTGCATGTGATCAATCGTCGCGGAGGAAACTTAATACTTTGAAGTATTCAGAGGCATTAGCTGTCCAGTAGTACCACCCTTTCACCGTCACCAAAACAAAAAATTGACTTTATTTTGATGTCAGGCTATTTCCTGCGCACGTCCCGTTCAGCGTCGAGAAAAACCGCACGCCATGGCGTAGGCTATGTGAATGGATGGTGGTGCGTGAGTGATGGACGTGAGAGAGTGATTGGCCGATAACACGGGAACAGCAAGCACACGACTACGACTGCACACGCGTGTCACAGGCCGATCAAAAACTTGCTCATGTTTCAAAAGCCCTGTGGTCCCCGCGTTTACGGCGGCAGTCCCTACCACTCATGGTGAATGTTCGTCGGTGGACGTATTTTCGTTTTTCACTTCTTTTTGTCTTATTATGGCCGTTCGGGCGGTCCCCATTTTTTTCCATCATTTGAAGCATCTGGGCTTCCTCGTTCATCCCGTTTATGGCAGTCGTATTATATGGTTTTTGATTGACTCGATCGAGACGGGTGTTCGATCGAACACACACGTTGTGTGACGGCGCCAGTTTAAGATCCCATCGGCAGAAAATTCGGCTGGAGGTTTCTTCGGCGATCAACCACCGAATGAAGCTCAGCATCCGTCGCTTGAGGCCTTTTCACGAGAGGCAAAGCGAAACAGGAACAGAGAAAAATCGGACATCACTGACTTCAGACAAGAAACTCACGTTCCCTTACTAAGCTGGGACGTATTCACCTCCAGGTTTGCATTGGCTAAGCTATCCCCCTACACTCAACACCTTTCCGTGCGACTGTAGAGGGCATCCGCTTTTGAGGGTACCGTTGTTGAGGATCGCCGACTTGCGTAGAGGGATCAAGATCGAGGCAAGAACAGGTTACGTTTCCACTTTATCCCCTCAAATCGCATCTATCTATATCGTTTTCACCGGACGGATTGAGTGTTCATCATGCCATATTCGCCCCCGTGGGGCTCTCGCCTCCGCGCACGATGACATACGATCAAAGACACCCAGGTGCGTGTCAAAATGCGTCACAACCAACAAGCCCTGAAGAGCAAGAATCGAACAGCACTACGTTCGGTACGCGCCACCACTCACTCGGGAACCTGGGAGTTCCAAGGGTAGACTAGGCGTGGCACGCTCACGAGGAACCAAGGAAACTCAACTAATAGTAGTGCGGATTGGCTGGGGGCGATGTCAAAACTTAATTTCGATACTTTGGTACATTTTGCTCTTTTCACGGGACAAAGACTGGACTGAAAGATGCCAAGCCTTCATCTCTACGTCGAAAACACCGCACTTACTTGCTTGGAGGACAGGAGGAGCCGGACTACGTGTTCGCAGAGGTTCATGAAGCGAAAGAAACATAGGCCACGCGCATCGTCGGCATAACCGAACGTTTTCTTTTATGCGGCGAATTCAGCCGCCCGGTGTCAGCTATTGTTCCATGGGGGTGGCCGGACCAAGCTCTTGAAATGTTGGGTGTCGAGATGACAGCTATCTGCTGTTGGCGCTGAAACCATGGGTTCGACTCCAGCTTCGGGTGAAAAGTTGTTTTCACTTAACTTTGACTTCTTCTTACACGTTTATACTCGTTTCGCTAGAACCCAGACACTTTTCATCGCGTCGTCGGAGAGCCGAAACGCAAAGAACGCAAGGAGTTGCGAGCAGATGCGAGCCTCTCCGCACGAAGAGCGTCACAACGCAGAATATTGGGGTCCTTATACTGTCCCTTCTTCCCCTCGCTCCTCGACAAGCTTTTGCTTAGACATGGGTTGTAGTGAAGGGGGGGGTCTTTCTGGCGAGCAGGGCTAGACTCACCCTCAGGGGATGACCGAAACCTTCTTGCTGCTGCGCATATCCGCCGCGAGGCATGCGCGTGGTGGTGTAGTTGGGTCGGCACTGATGGGGTCAGGCGAAAAAATGTAGATGCGCGGGCCTCTGGCCGTCGGCGTAGGCAGCGATGCCCATCTCATTTTTTGTGCGCGGAGGCAGACACCGTCAGAAGGTGG